AAAAAAAAAAAAAAAAATATTGTGAATTTTAATTATCATTTTCTCTTCTTATTAGAAAGTATTACATATTAGAAATCTTTTTTGGACATATATAGTAAATTCTAAAATACACAGAATAAAGAATTACTGTTAATATATATTTATATAAAGTTCTTGATCCTTGTGCATGAAAGGGGCACCTTATTATTCATGGTCTTGACAGGTTTTCTATACTTTGAAAAGTTTTGCTTTTTCTTTAACAATTGGAGAATGTTAGAGCAACATTTATATTGCTTATTTAATTTCAATTTTTGTGATTTATGATCTCAGTACCACTGCTTTCCATGAATTTTTACTGCTTTTTTAATAAGCTATACGTGTTTTCTTATAAGGTAGGAAATTTTAATGGTTATCAAAGGTATAGAGTCTTAATTGTTCTTCTGTTCATAATTTGGAATACTCATACAGTAAAAGCCCAATTAACCAGAAAGTAACTGGGATATTTTAGATTGTTTAAACGCCTCTCCCGCCTGAAACATTAAGCAAATGAAAGCCATTATAAAGCATGCTTAAGGTATTCATCAAATAGTGTGATTTAACTCCATTAACCCTTTTGCGTCTGTGCACCTTTGTTTAAGACACTCATGCGGGACGGAAGGGAATCGAAGGCATTCACCATACAGGATGGGCGTTTTGCATTGCTAAGCCTAATTATATATATATATATATAAAGTTTCACTTCTAGCATTGTAATTTTTGGTTATCATTTTAGATTATTACTTGAACTCTTATATATGTTAACATTAGCACTTAATAAACTTTTTTTCTTTATTTTACGTGAAAATATATTTAAAATTTGCTTATCTTGTAAAATAATTTTTGGAAATGCTATTCAAATTATTGCAAAGTTTTAATTGATAAAATCCACTAATAAAGTCTAAAATTAATAAAACAACACAATAAAGGCTATTTACAGTAAGAAGTAACACAATTTAAAATGAAGACTGTGGTAAATCTCAAAGCACAGAGAAGTATCACTTTCTAACTCTTTAGAAAATGAATCATCACTCTCATCTGTGTTAGCAAATGATTCATTAACCATACGAGTGTATTCTTCCTCTGATAAATAGCGCCTTCCCGCCACAATAGACTGGAGGTGAGGCTTTCTGAAATAAAAAGAGAAGAAACCAAAATATATATGAAGGCAATGCAAAACATAAAAAAATTTCACATAGTAACCTTAAAAGACCATATATAGGTGACAGGTGAGAGCAGGGTCGAGACACCCGGGCTGCTTTCACTGACTATTCGGGTATCATCCGAATCCCGCAACTGTTCAGAAAAAGAATATTGCAAACAGGGGCAGATGGAGGAAAACAGGGATATTGTGGATTCCTACAATAACAATGCTTATTATATACAATATAAAGATACATCAAAAAGTGCTGTTACTATGTTGAATTATCATAATAGTAATGCATCGTATTACATTATACATTAATAATGCACTATTATAATAGTCGACGCAGGGACAATAAATTAATATGTATAATAATAAAATTTCCTGAACTATATACAGACACTACAGAGTGGTATCAATGCACATTGTATGACCTATAGCTGTATATATTATACATTAATATTACATGCATACAATACATTAATACACAGATAACATAAAAAGTGCATTCGATATATTAATACACTATACATTAATAGTGCACTCGATTTAAGCCATACAATTAAAAAAAAGTACCTAAACTCTACAGACATTTTGGAGAGCAATACCAATGCTCATTACGCAACTTATAACTATATATATTATCCATTAATAACACATACACACGTCCATTACATTGATACATACATAACACGAAAAGTGCATTCAATATATCAATGTAATTACATAATACATTAATAGTGCACTCAATATATTAATACATACTATAATAAAATTTGCTAAACTCTACAGACATATTGCAAAGCTGTACCAGTGCATATTATGTAGCTTATAACTATATATATAAATAATACAGGCACACATACATTACATTAACACATACGTTTCATAAAAAAGGTTCATTTGATACATTAATAGGTGCACTGGATATATTAGTACTTACAATAATAAAAATTTTCTAAACTCTACAGACATATACCAGTGCAAATTGTACAACTTATAACTATATACATTGTTATACATTATATTAGTACATGCATACATACATTACATTAATACATACATAAAAATAAAATGTGCATTTCCCTATTCGATTAGATTGAGCATTAAAGTTATGCATTGGCATTGCATTAACTGGTGTAAAGAGATTAATATCCATGTAAAAGTTAGGACTCCTATGGCTATTGGACCGTGTTCCGCACTAATGAGTTCAGTGCCTAGCTCTTCGAGTTTTTGCATCATTAGTTGTATTTTCCTCTGTATTAAAGGTTGCTTGACCATAAATCTTTTGTAAGCGGCTGTATTTGTAGTTGGCAGAGCGTGGTGGAAGTCTCATGTAAGTGGGCATGATGTCAGATAATGATCAGGCTTGCCCACATCTCCACATACACAGAAGTTGGTAGTTGTTAGGTTCCTATCATAAAAGTAACTGGGAAATGGCCCATGTCCAGTTATGAAACGCGTTATATGTGGGTCTGAAATTAACCTGTCTGTACTGACCCTGTGGAAGAACTCGCACGCGCATCTGCCCTGTGAAATGGAATCCCAGTCCTCTTGCCAGTGGATTAGAGCATCCTTCCACATTGTTCTTTTAATGCTGCTTTTGGGAAGCAGTACCTCTTGCTGTGCATCTATGTTCTGTGCGGCCTCCTTTGCGAGTAAGTCCACCTCCTCATTTCCCTGGTGCCCAAAATGAGCCTTTAATCCAGGATATGTGGAGTGGAGATGCCGACGATCTAGCTTTCAGGAGTGCTTGGATTTCTGCAATAAGTGGGCTGGGATGATAAGGATAAGACCATATATAGTATCGGAAAAAAATAGAATAAAAAAAGGAATTGGATATAAATCAGACAGGTGAATGTTTATATTAGCATGCCACGATTTAAAGAGCCTACCTCTGTTTACGTTTTCCCCCACCATCACCCTCGCAACAGTTGATGAGTAAAATATCAAAGTTGGGCAGAATATATCAAACTCAAGATCAAGAACCTAAAACTGTATTCATTTCATAAGCAATGGGCGTAGGATGCCATCTAGTGGTCTCCAGAAAAACGTTCCAACTTAAAATGCATATACGCATCGTTCGTCCTCTGAATGCAATTTCTAGTGATGCGAGGATAGGGCACCTGGCTGTAAGAGACATTAGGAAATGCATATATGGGATGCCCATCCGGAACGAGTTAATGGATAAACAAGTTGTCACAACACAATTCTAAAATCTTTTCCTTCGTTGTGTGCAAATCCGATTAATTTTTGTAAACTGTTTTAGTTTTGTAAAGAAGGAATATAAGGTAACTGCTATTTATCTGGTTTTTCCCCTCATATTTTGAAAAAATAATTAAAGTTTGAACCTGCTTTCCACGGAAAAGTGTGTGGTGGAATATTTTTAAAGTTATGGATTCCTGGTATTAAGAAACGTGATTAATATGCACGATAAACAACTTTATTTGTAAATTGATAAACAGTGGTGATGGCAAATGAAATGCTATGACAAATGTGAGTTTTTATATGCTCTATCTGTAACTTGTACATCTTGATTATCTAATGAACTAAAATAATGATATAATTCTTTAAATTTTTACCAGAATTATTGGCATGAGGTTGGCAATATCTCCACCAACTTTCATAGTCAACAAGATTTCATAATCGGATATGTTATACTTTCATACATTTAAGGCCTGCGAAATATATTGACTTTTATATCTGAAATACATTCCCCCTCCCAAATCTCATATAATTTTAAATCTAGGCTTTTGATATTCAAGTTGATAACAAGTAATGTGGTTGTTTTTATAATTTTAAATTGGAAATTTCTTCCATTTATTTGTCTTTTGTACCAGGAATTGAATTTTAATAGTCTTAACTATTAGAAATATTCATGTGTCTGGCATTCTTTATTTTACAAGCTATATCTGTAGTTTTGCTTAACTGAAATAAACAGCAATTAGATCTGTGTAAATACTTTGTTACCAGATGCAATGAAAAAGCTTTCCAAAGAGCATATCTGAAAGTGACCAGTATTTTGGTGAATATAATCAAATAATGGTATTGAACATTGCTGATAGTTATGTTCTTTTAAGTGATGACCTTAACAAATATTCATAATGATTTGGAATCTTGGCTAATTATCTTAGGGAAGTTTCATAGGGTTATATATTTATTTAATTCATTATGCTTCAGAAACAAATAATAAATTTAATGCATTAGAAGACTGTTATTGTTTTTCTAGCATATGAGTTTAAGTTGACACAATTTTAACTTGCTTATAGCAGTAATGAATAAGTTTTAAAATACTTGTGATACTGATCAGAGTTGGACTGGTGTCAAGCTTTTGGACATTTGAAGCTGTCTTTAGGAAAATGCTGAAGGAATAAGTATTAAACCAGTGAAAAGTGGAAAACTGGGGAGTACTTCACCTTAGGAATTCCTTTTAAAATGGGGGATGCTATGTGGGGGTATCCTCTGTGGTTTTGTGAGTTTTTCCATGGTTGTTTATTCTAGGAATTTTTATTTTCCTTTCTTTTTTACATATTTCTTCACCATTCTGTTCTTTATCTTGATTCTATTCTTTGATGTTGCTTGGTACATTCAAAAGCTTAAGACCTCTTATATTTTGTGCTTTGTCTTATTTTTTTAAAAAATGATCATAGTAAATATAATAGTAAAATAGTAACTATTTGTAATATTTTTAAAATTAACTTTTATATAATTATGGTTTTACCAAATTTGAACTATTATCAAAACTGGAATTTCTAAACTCATAATATTCCTTAATATTAGCGTATTTACTTTTTTTAAAAAAAAATCTAGGATGAAGATATTTTTCCTTTCATTTGTTTAGGATAAAGTTTTAAGGATACACTATGTATGGGCTCTTTGTCGAGATCAAAGTGAGTTAGACCCAAAAGCAGCTTGGAAACTATTGGACTTATCAGCAAGTAGCACAGAACAGTGGCTATGAGAGTAGACATTTTAGTGTTGTATATATGGTAAGTTATTTTATAATATTTTGTTTCAGCTTCTTGTTAAATGTTTTTGTACAACTTAAATTAATTAGCAGTGTAAATGGTTTCATTCGTTAAGTGATATCCTTAATGAATGAAACCATTTACCATTTATTACTTTGCTTTATATGTTAATTTTTTGTATTGTTTATGGTAGTTATTAAAAATTCTTCATTAGAAATTGTAGATTATTAGAACATGGAAGAGCTAGGTATTATGAAAGAAACTGCATTCCATTATATATGTCAGAGCATTTGATGCAGATCTATATTAGTAAAATAAAAGTTGACTAACCGCAATAAATAGTTTCATGTATAGTCATTTGCTTAGGGGTGAAATATTATTTTATTTTCTGATTTTCTGCATACAGTCATTCGCAATACTGGTTTAAATTAATCGTGTAAGTCATCTATGTGCTAACTATGTGTAATTTCTGTTTTGGCTACAGTTTATATTATAGTAAACAAATTAGAAGTCATTTGCAAATATGTTTTATAACAGATAAAAGGGTCTTCATTATTATGCAACAATTCTTGTTGCAGATGTGAAAATAATTAATTTTTCTTACCAATATATCCTGCTGTGAAAATACTCTTAATGATTTTTTATAAAATGAAGGATGATGAAACATATTCATATTCCGTATCAGCTCATAAAAATTTACGTGTGTATATTTTTATATGTGTGGTCAAAAAGTTTACTAAGTATTATTGTTACCTCTTTAACCTAATGGGTTTGCTGTTAAAGCAGATTAGGGTGTATATTCATACACACGTGAAGATCCTGTCTGCATTTTTATGTCTTTAAATTATTTTCTATTGTTTTATTATTTAAATATAGATACAACAGATACTTTTAGTAATAACTAAATTCACACATGCATACTCATAGCTGGTATATGAAATAATATTTTTGCTCGCTATCGCAACTGTGAGATAATCCGGAACTAGATAAATAGTGCTCACCTTTTCTGTGCATTTACACAAAACTTCTCACATGCAGTATGCTATTTTCCATTAGTCTTACGCGAGTCACCAAGCACAAATTTGAGCAACATGCTTATAACATTTCCTAAGTGTGTGTGGAGATTTTCCAGTCTAAACACTTAGTTTTCAGAAATAAATGATCCATTTTAGTATGCCAATTGTATTATTTAGTCTCTTCTAGCATTCCAAACACCTAAACATTGCATGCCTTTACTATAGCGGTATTCACACTTGTTCATTTAGGCAAGTTGATCAGTAATGAGTTATCTCGTAACTGGCAAGTAAACCCAAGTTGCCAACTGTGAGTATTCTCATAGATGCCAGTTAATGTGTTAATAGTAGCTTTTTTCGTAGATGCTAATATGAGTTACAAATTTATTTTACATAGCTTGGCATTTCATATTGCACATCTTGAAATTACTAGATCTAAATTAATATATCACCTGGGCGTAATACATTTTAAAACAGTTCTCTCTCTCTCTCTCTCTTTTTTTTTTTTTTTTTTTTTTTTGCAATGCACTTTGCAGCATCATAAATTCCATTTTATGCTGTCAACTTCCAATATTTTTCATCTGAATGTGAATGTAAGCCTTTTACATTCACATTCAGATGAAAAATGATTATCTTGATTTACTTAAATGTATTAAGTTTATTAAAATGAATGTGATTAATTAAAAATTCACCCTTTAGAAGTAATAAATTTATCAATTAAAAAGCAAATTAAAAAAATATTACCTTTAAGTACTCTAATTTTCCCTCAAAGTGAATTCGGGCAAATGTGGAAGAAAATGATACATATAGAAATAAACTTTTATCAAAATGATCTAGAAGAATGTGTATTAAAACTGTTAAAACTTGAAGAGATTTGGTGTTTACATATTATCCTGTCATTCGTAAAACTATCACAGAGCAGCATGATTTAGCACCAGTTATGGATGAGAGTGATGTTACGACGCATTCATAACATCTGCGCTTTCATTTGATGTAACTTCGATTGATTTTTGGTAAGCCACTTTTTGTTTTTATGAATAAGGCTATAAATTAGCTGTTATTGCTGTATTTTTTTCTTCCATTTGGGGGAGGGGAGAAGTTTAAGGGCAATAGAATCACATCTGTGACTGCACATGGTTCATTACAGCTGGTTGAGGGAATTAACATCAGTTGAATGGGAAAGCGAACAACTGGATATGGGTGACAAAACGGCAAAAGATTGAAACTATCACCTGAGGGAAGTTTGCACTCATAGCATTCACAATTTCTAGTAAAATCAAAGGAGAATAAAATAGAAGAAATTGACCAAAAACTTTTTACAAAGCACAAGCATGAAAAGAGTTTAATACTTATGCAGCAGTGGCTGTTTGATTGATTCGTGCTGAGATACTGACAGATGTTTTATCATAAGAGATGCATATAGAAGTGCTGCTCAGAATTCTGCAGGAACAATTGATGCAGCTTTTCTAACTACTTTCAATAGTAGCCAACATTATACGAAAGTACCAAAATTTTTGCTTCGCTGGAAACATACGTATGTAGGTCAACAGTAAAATAACTGTTAGAAAATGAAGAAATTTGGTGAATTGAAAAATGCAAAAACTTAAAGCAATAACATTTACATTTTGCAATTCACCAAGTATTCTGATGCATTGCATTCTGATGGTGATTTTACTATTCATCCTGTTGATGGTTTTGTACTACTGTTCTGATGATGATTCTTTTGTTAAGGGGAGGCTAATATAGTTGAAAAGTGTTTTAAGTAAAAATATATATATACAGTCAAAAGTCTTTAATCCGGACTTGTTGGGACTTCGGCGATTCCGGATTATCGATTTTTCCGGATTATAGATCATCAGTTTAAATCTGGTAAGATGGCATGCAGAAATTATAAAATTAAAAATATGAAACCATAATTTATAAAATAATGAGCAATTATGATCTAAAGGGTATCAAAATTTACAAAAAAAAAAAAAAAAAAAAAAAAAAAAAAGCTTAATATTTATTTGTTTACTTTATTAAACATTTCTTTCAACGCGCGCATGCGTAAAGCATACCTTACGCATAGCCGAAATTAGAAAATTTCAACCAGAAAACTATTTGATTTGTAATCATGATATTTATAATGACGAGGAATTTGATTTAAATCATATCAAAGACGGAGTACATCGAGATTAAATACTACATTTAGTAAGGAATTATAAGCCGAATAAAATAAAAACATCTGCCCTGAAGATAACGATAGTGCTGACAGATCAACTTCCAGTTCACTGTGTGCCGCGATGTCCCTCCCCCACGCGCAGAGCAGCGTAAATTGATAAACAGATTTTGGAACAGTTAGATAAACAAAGGATATGCCTTTATCCATTTTTTGTAGCAATTCATTTTTTTTTTGGTTGATGGACATCGAAACATACTTTCATTTTCTAGATCCTTTGGGAGCTCCAGCATCGGAAATTCTATTTGACATAATCGAAAGTGCAAGCTTACTTTTATAAAATTGCTCTTACAGTCTGCAAAAAATAATAAGCCGGATCCAATTCGAAGATTAAGGAACAAAGCAATCATCAACATTAACTGAAATAGATAATTAGATAATTTTAGCTTATACTGTCCGTTATACATTAAACGCGCATGCGAAAATGTATTCTGCGCTTGCACAGACGCATACGCGCAGTCGTAAAAGACTTGCGCGCACTTGTAAACGCCTATGCACATGCATCAATGCGGTGCATGCACAGAAAGACGCCTTTTGACTGTACAGTCAAATACCGAAAATCCGCCAACTCCTGAAATTCATGTTGCCTCTCAAAATATAAACATTCAGTTTATAGGTTCCGGAAACCGCAACTTTGAGTATGAAATATTGAAGAAAAAATATTTACCGAATAATAATGAGTCATAACGGAAATACCAAATTATTGATATCATGATAAAAGGTTTTTCTCCTCTAATCTGCATTGAGGTAAGAAAGCAGACGATTCACTCAACTCTTCTTTCAAGTTTATGATTCACGTTGTTGTATTTTCTAAGCTTTGTTATTTCATGAGATTATTTAGTGCTGCCTTTTTTTATCCGGATATTTTGTGAATAAATTAAGAATATTTTAAATTTCAGCCCTTTTTAATACAATTACAGATAAGAAATGCACTCATGATTTTACTGCTTGCAACGTTGAAAAACATAAACAAGTTGCATTGACGGTAATACAAAAAGTGGCAAATTCTGCAAAAGATGGAGATAGGTGCATCCTCGATTTATAGCAGAATCATAGTGGAATTGCGATATGATTGTGTATATGATATACGGAAAAATAAAGAAAAAGCTGTTGAAATTTTATAGCAACAGTGATTCTAACACCGGAATCCGAAACCGGAAAAAACCTAAAACTTTTGCATGGAGGCGAAATTGGCAAAACTCGGATGCTGTGTATCCTATAATACAATGAATAATGTAATCAAATTATATATGTAATAATAATTTAACGCATATAGTAAGTTATTGCAATAATGTATATAATAATTTAATTAAATGTGTCTAATATGCCTTATTTATTTTGCACTTTTAGTCTGAATATTATGATTTATCTTTTCTGTCTTGAAATCTGCAAAATCCTAACATCTGCACAACCTCTGGTCCCAAGTTTTGTGGATTTCTGAACTTCTACTATGTATATATAGGCTTAAGAGAATTGCGAGATTTTGAAATTTATATTTTCATTGCATACTTCTTAGTGGTTCAGGATCTAATAATGATGTAGGGGCTCTGTCTCCTATGGGAGACAGTCTAATACTGAACTCCATGAAAATGTCAGAAAAATTATAAAAACGTGCCAACAGAGTCTGTTATTGAAAGTAATGAAATGGTCAGAACGTATAGTTATAAGTGAGATAGAGGCGAGATAGTATACAAGGATTAATGTGACTCTGAAGAACAAAATATTAAATGCTCAAAAGTTCTTTTTTGTATTAATTGCAGGGCTGTGGAGTCGGAATCGGAATAGGAATA